CATGTTCTAAATGTACATTAGATATAGTAAAGAGTTGAGAATTTAATGTTATATCAAATAATTTATAAAAAGCAGAATTAAAAAAAAAATTAATAACAAAAAAACCCAGCACAGGGGGGTCGCGGCACAGTTGTGACGTGGTATAGTTGGATCAAGTATAATGATATCTGACAGTGATTAAAATCACTATCAAAAATAAACGCTTCGATGCAAATCTTTAGATAGTGTTTAATTTTAAAAAAATTGGTGTTTTATTCCAAAAGCTACTTGATCTGCTGGTTCCTTAATATCTCGATTAAGATAAAGTATGTCGAATGAAAAAGGGTTTATTAAAAAATATTATTTCTCATAAAAAATTGTGTGGATCCATAAACTTTTCAATAAGTTATAGCATTATAAAGTTAAATATAATATGAATAATAAAATCGAGAATTTTCACACGAAAATAGCATTCGGTAGCCATTTTCGCCGTGAAGAAAAGTCCAGAGGTCAAATTTTTTTTTTCAAATTCAAGTATATTACATTAGCTTTAATTTAAGATATATATAAAAGTGTCAGACCTTCCAGAACATTTTCAAAAGTTATGTTGAAAAAGTTAATTTTTTGTGAAAAAGTTGTCATTTTAAATCCCCTCTTGTGGGCAGAAAAAGGGTCAAATTTACAAAAAAAATATACTAAATAATAGGTANGCCCTATATAGTAAATATGTTTGCTATCACTAGAACTTATTTTTACTTTTTTTATGAGAGACCACAATTTGTGTTTGCGTAATTTTGTTCAGACATATGCATCAGATAAAGGTTCTGATGCATTATTTTTACTAGCACTAATGGTACTAGATTTTTCCTATAGAAATTATCAATAATGAAAAGTCTGTTAAAAGACTTAAAATTAATTTAGTTAACTCACACTAACAAAGTTTGCCTGCCACTTTTTTAAATAGTGCTCAAATATTAATCGTTGACAATAACAAGCTTTTGGACAAATGTCTTGTAAGTGTTTTTCATTAACATATTTAAGGCTTTCACATGTTATTCCATGTTCTAAATGTACATTAGATATAGTAAAGAGTTGAGAATTTAATGTTATATCAAATAATTTATAAAAAGCAGAATTAAAAAAAAAATTTAGAGAAATAACATTTTTCAAATCACTAAATTTAATGTAAAGTATAAAAGTCAATTTCTATTATAATTAACTGATAATTACTATAACGTCACACGTCGAAAAGATATAAAAATAAATATGTGTACTTACCGATAAATATATTGAAGAAGCAATCACCTTTTAACTCTCTTAGTACATCTAGTAGACCTGATTCGTGTAAAAATTCTTCGGAAAATTCATTATTTTCGCTGANTAAAAATTCTTCGGAAAATTCATTATTTTCACTGACGGCAGAATTTAAAATTATTTCTTCCATTTAGTTATAATAACAATCACTAGACACTACACTATACACTAACCAAAACGATGCCCAGTGTAGAATTATGTTGCGTATTGTCACTGTTATCTAATAGCACAATAATAAAAGTTCCAGAAAATTTACCTAAATGTGCTAAAAATAAACGTGGATTTTATTATGTAACGATAAATGTCATTAAAATAAAGACGGCAGGGTATTATATTAATGAAAACTGTCTAGTGGGGTTAGTAAACAAATAATTTCCCTACACTTCCGGTAAATCAAAGTTATAATTACTTTTAGTTTAAGTAAAACATTAATATTTTAATTCAATTTAGTTTTGATTTGAAGTAACATTTTTTACTTAAAAATAAAGATTCTCTATGATAGAAGCGTAGAACTTTTTGGTTATATCAATTACCCTATCCTTTAAAAGAAACGTATTTTTATTACATTCAAGTAAATTGTGAGTAAGAAACAAATAATTGACTCCTTTGTTTAAAATATTTATATTTTTTTGATTTGATTGCGGTATCTTTAAAATGTCATTAAAAAAATCTTTAAATTTATTGAATGTGGTTTTATTTTAAAAGAAAAATTGTTATTTTAATTCATTTCAGCGTTGTTACTAAGTAAAACGCTAGGCTTAATGACACTGATTCAATTTCATTAAAGCATGGAACTTTTTTTTTCTGAGTGTACTACTTCTACTACTACTACTATTCTTTTTCTCGTGGGCGTACCGCAGGAAAACACGAGTCGCGCGCGCGACACGGTACAACCGTCGCCGATACCGCCGCCGCTGCTACTCCTCCTCCTCCTCTACAATGCCATTCTGAGGGTAATGAGGAAAGAAAATTCTTCGTGGCGACGTGTCGTTTTTTTTTTGTTTTCACGTCGACGTTTGAGCAATCGGTGAGGTTCGCGGGGGGCGGTAAGGACAATCGTGAAACGCGACACGAAAAGCGCGGCAACATTACCGCGGTAATGGTTTTTGTAGCGTGTTAAATCAACGCCACGCAACGGTTTGGATTTTTTTTCTAGACAATTTCATCGCGTATTACGCGTATGCCTTTATATGTATATATAGATGTATATGTATAGAGTGTTCAATAAGTTCGGAAACACCGACTTTTTAGAGCCGCTATTGATTTTTTTAACAATTTTTTTTTTTAGAAGCTAATTGAATAATTAAATGCATCTTTTACAATTAAAATTAAAGTTTAGCCCTAATGCAAAAGGATAGAAATCTACCCTAACTTAAGAAATTTAAATGGCAACCGTTACTTTTTTTTAAATTATCGGTTAGGAAATTTTATTTATAACAAAAATAGTTTTAAAATTGAACAAGTCATTTTTGAGATTTTGTTGTTTAAAAGCATCGATTTTGAGTTTGGAAGCACATTTTGCCACTATAAAAACTAATCAATGCGCGATTCCGTAATGACGATAATCATAAATAGCCTGATTATTGTTGCTCGGTTTATCTTAATGATCGTATTTGGGCATGAATTGTTCAATAAATATTGTTAAATCGATATCGTACCTTATCAATGGAATCATTAAATATCAATAAAAATATGATTTACGATTGCATTTTTTTCACATTTACAAGTAAAAGTAGGTAGTTGTTGAAAACATATGTGTTATCAAATTAAATATTTTAGTTAATTATAACTAATTGTACTAAGTTATTCATCAAAATGATTTTAACTCGTCTTTATCATTTTGCGGCATGAAAATTTAAAGGTTCTAGGTCAGATATTTTCAAATTGACTTTTTTTTTTTTTAATTTATTAGAAAATATACAATCTGTACCTACATTAGTTCAATAAGCATATGGTCTGATTTACAAATAATAATTTACTATTGATATATATATATATATATACATGATTGGAGAAATCATCCAGTGATGGAGCTTCAGTGGCTGAAAAAGTGTAATTATTCTATGTTAGCAGGTCTCTGCATCATTTTTTTTTTAGGCGACGTGGAGGGTTTTCAGGAAGATTATTAAGGCAGTTAAAGGATTCGGATGTCCCTGTAGTCTCATTCTAAACCTCTTATAGTGGATTTTAGCTAATTCTACAACGGTTGGGAGGAAAGTGTCTTTGTAGAACATTTCGTTAGAAACATAGGGAGGTGCATCAAAAATTTTGAGTAGAACTCGTGATTGGAACACTTGGATTCTGTTTGTGCTGGATATTTTTGCTGAGCCCCAGAATTCTATGCCATAAGTCCAAATTGGTTTAAGTAACATTTTGTATATAGTAAGTTTTGTTTTTGTATTAATTTTTGATTTGTTGTCCAGGAATGGCTGTAGGAGTTTTAGGCGTTGATTTAATATTATTCTTTAATCGTGTAAGTGGGGCACCCGTGTGAGGAGCTTATCTAAAATTAGTTCTAGGTATTTTGTTTTGGTATTAATTGGAATTTGGGTATTGTTGATTGAATTGGGAATAAATTTGAAAAATTAATTTTTTATAAAATAATTGTCATTTTGAATTATCCTCGATGTGCAGGTGAAGGGTCAGATTGAAAAAAGATATATTCCAAATGATAGATATATATCTATTAAACAATGGTTTTATTCATTCTTTTTTTTAAAAAGTTATAGCAGTTTTAAGTAAAAAAAAGGAGGAGAAGTGAGAGCATTAAACTATTGTTTGGCATCACGAGTCATTCGCCGACGAACAATATTAATTTTTAGGTAATCAGGTTTTTTTTTTGGAATTAGAAATAATCTTTATTTATTATCTAAATAGCAAATCCAAGTTTTTGGGATTTTTAGTTTCAATATGAGGATTTTGAGATAAAGAAGGTGTTGCATTAATATCAGGAATAGATAATTGAAGTTTTTGGACAGATAACTCAAGCGCAGTAAACCTAGCAGCTTGACCTTCAAACTAAGCATAACCGTTCCGATAAATTAGAAATAAGGGCTTTTAATACGGACTTGGACGTCCAATGTTTTGATGTATGTGTAGGATTTACAATTTACATACTTTCAAGTACTTCTAATAATTTGTTATTGATTTTAGTTATGTCTTTTTTAAGATCAGGAAAAGAAGTTTTGAATTACCGTTGGGATTCTTTAAATTGTATTTTAAAGTCAGTATGGAAATCCATTAAGCGGGAACGAAGGTTAGAATGAGAATCATCATTAGGTGGAGAAGTGAAACGAATAGTGATGTTTTCCTCGTTGCCAGACATATTAAGAGATAAATCAAAAGTAATATGGAAAAAAGGTGATAGGAAAAACTAGGATTGTATCTGTCAGGAATTTTTGTTTGTCTTTTTTTTACACCTTTTATTAAAAATGGCAATGAAATAAATGACTATAATTAAAACGCTTTCGATAGAGGGGGAGACGTCACACGAGAGTTTTCCTCCTCCTACTATCGCACCCTGTGCAGAACGGAATCGAAATCGAAC